AGGACCTCTTCGCATAAAATTTGAAATTTTCAGAGTAGGGCCCATATTGGTCTTGACCACATTCATCAATTGATTTGGCTAAAAAATTGTATTTATGCTACCGTGGGGTCAGGAACCATCATACAGATAATTGCCACATAGGAATTTTTTAAGTAAAGTCCCCACATTGGAGTATCCCCAAGTCCACTTTCACATCTAATGTGTGGTCAGAAAAGAAAATTTTGTATTCTATTGAATTTTTAACCCCCAAGAGAATATTGGTTGGGAACGTAGATTTGGGATGTGCATCCATATGAAATAAATTGTGGAAACATGAAGAAATTACAAATATAAGAAAGTAGCACGGGACCGAATATTTGTTTAATCATCATTGAATTATCCTATGATGAAAATATGGACTTTAAGGGGTCTCCAACTTACAATTTAAATGGCAAATAAAATTAATTCCCATCTTATCATTCTGCCCTCAATTATGAGGTGGATAAAACTATTTTTACTTATTTAAATCACGCGAAATGCTATGACATGCTATATTGTTCTGCTATATTTTTGATTTGGCCTCTATTTGTCATCTTGGATTATAAGGGGTAGAAGAAAGTTTTCAATGTAGGTCGATGTTTCGGAGTAGTGCCCATATAAAGAAGGTACCTCCTAATTTAACCACATTTCAAAGAATTTGGCTAATAATGCGTATTAGGGGGGTGAAAATCTTACACTAAAATTTCAACATATCTACAAATTTTAGAATTTTTATCCATGTTATAATACCCTCTCAAGTCCACCTTTTGGCGGACAAACAGACTGACATGGTTAGGGGGACTTATGAGGACTCTAATGCACAATCTAAGTTGCTAATGGGTTTAAAAAAGTAATTAACTTTGGCTATTCTTAAATCATTCAGCCCTCAATTATGAGGTTACAAAATACAGTAAATTGCAAATTACTGCTCATTTGACTGGAAGATTTTGCTACGATTTTTACCATATTAAAAATTAATTTGATCCCTTATATGGCGATAAGATTGATATATACTTTTTAATAGATTTGTATAGCACATCCACACAGTTGAAGCCCACGGTTTAAATATTGAAGCCCACTGGTTAAAAATGGGTACAGGTATTTTAAAACACTTTAAATCGACCTGTACGTGAACACTTATATCAGTCATATCTGTGAATAATTATGCTTGGGAATATATGCATAATAGACCAAAACTACGGGCCGGCAACGCGGACCGGGCCAGCTTGTATATATATATATATATATATATATATATATATATATATATATATATATATATATATATATATATATATATATATATATATATATATATATATATATATATATATATATATATATATATATATATATATATATATATATATATATATATATATATATATATATAAATGAAAGTTGTGTTAGTTACTACGCTTATAACTTAAGAACCGCTGAACTGATTTTAATGATTCATACAAATTCGGAATTGTCTCTTATCCGAAAAGGATAATATCCAAAAAAATCGCGTAAAAATGTTATATGTTAACATTTTCATTTTGACTTTTGAAATGTACAATAGTAATGTTTTATTTTGCATGATTTGTTTTCATTTTGACTTACTTTTTTCTAATGTACATTTGTAGTGTTTTTTAAATTTTATTTTTGAATTCGAATATTGATGACTTGATTTCTTGAGAACTGAAATTGATGGCGGGTTACATCACGGAAAAAGAGATCTCATTGCAACAATTCTCAAAACGGGAAAATATCGAAAAAAAATTCCAATGGAATTGAATTTTAAAATAAAAGTACATTCTATTGACGAACTTTGTAAGGATCTTTAAACAGTTGCTGTAAAAAATCAGCGAACAAGTTGAAGATTTTTTCTATTTGTTATTCTTCTATTGTCAATTTTTTCAATTTGTAATACCATATTGAATTCAGGGGATTTTTTGTGAACAAAATAAAGAATTATTTTTCACTATATACAATTTTTCACCAACAAAATGAAATAAGTGCGAAATACGATGGTAACTGACATCTTCCTTTCAACTCCAGGGCCTACATCGTGCTTCAGCTGGAAGATGCGCAGACATTTAAACAAACAAAAATGACCGAAAAAGACTAATGGGGCTTATATCAAAGCGTGGCCCTACTTCTTTCATGTGACAATAATCCGTTCAATGAGAGCTCAAAATGCAAAAAAATTTGGGAGTATAATCAGTAAAATACCAAATATAAAGGGTGCAAAATAGTAGAGCAAATGGGATTCTTAGTAAGAAAAAGATTTCTATCCTTCTAAATATTTTTCCTGAACATTTAAGATACCTTAAATCGCTTTTGCAGGTCATGATATCGATCATAAATAACCATCGTATGATTTAAGCCATTTTTGGAGCCTTCGCCACTTTCTTCTATTTTTGGCCCTTTTTTGGCATCTTTGTTTCTAAGGGGGTAGAGAACCTCTACGCATAAAATTTTCGGAGTAGGGCCCATATTGGTCTTGACCATAAAAAATTGTATTTATGCTACCCTGGGGTAAGGAACCATCGTACAGATAATTGCCACATAGAAATTTATTCATGTAAAGTCTCCACATTGGAGTATCCCCAAGTGCACTTTCACATCTAATGTGTGGTCAGAAAAGAAAATTTTGTATTCTATTGAATTTGTAACCCCCAAGGGAATATTGGTTGGGAACGTAGATTTGGGATGTACATCTATATAAAATAAATTGTGAAAACATGAACTAATTACAAACATAAGAAAGTTGCTCGGGACCGAATATTTGTTGAATCGTCATTGAATTATACTATGATGAAAAATATGGACTTTATGGGGACTCCAATTTACAATTTAAATGACAAATAAAATTAGTTTCCATATTACGGTAATGGGTGTAAAATAGTAATTATATTTGACTATTCTGAAATTAGTCTGACCTCAATTATGAGGTGGATAAACCTATTTTTACTTATTTAAATCACGTGATTTTTTTTTCAGTTTGACATGCTATGTTGTTCTGCTATATTTTCGATTTGGCCTCTATTTGTCATCTTGGATTATAAGGGGTGAAGAAAGTTTTCAATGTAGGTCGATGTTTCGCAATTTACCATATTTCAAAGGATTTGGCTAAAAATGTATATTTGGGGGGGGGGGGGGAAATCTTACACAAAAATTTCAACATATCTACAAATTTTAGAATTTTCTCCATGTAATAGTACCCTCTCAAGTCCACCTTTTGGCGGACAAACAGGCCGACATGGTTAGGGGGACTTATGAGGACTCTAATGCACAATCTGAGGTGCTAATGGGTTTAAAAAAGTAATTAACTTTGGATATTCTTAAATCAATTAGCCCTCAATTATGAGATGTACAAAGTACAGTAAATTCCAAATTACTGCTCATTTGACTAAAAATTAAAAATCACTAAAAATCATATCTTTGAATAATTATGCTTTTACAAATATGAATAATAGACAAAAACTACGGGCCGGCAACGCGGACCGGGCCAGCTAGTATATATATATATATATATATATATATATTTTCAACACTAAAGATATGGTCTATTTTCCGCGTCGATTGGTCTATAATTGCGACCTGTATAGCTACTGCAAAATCCGAAATTTTTTCAGTATTTGGTCCATTTCATCCCCTAAACCTTTAGCGATCATCTCCAAAAGTTCTATTCTGGTCCAAGCCCCACCTACATTCTAAATTTCGTAAAGATCGGGCCATAATTGCGACCTGTAGAGTGATTACAAATTAACATGGACAGACGGACAGACGGATAGACGGACAGACGGACGGACGGACATACATAGCTAGATCGATTCAGCTCGGCGAGCTAGGAAGATCCATATATACTTTCCTATGTGGGAAACCAATATTTCGTGGTGTTACATAATTTTTGGCCCAATCAAACTTATAATACCCCAACACATAGTGTTGTAGGGTATAATCACTCTACAGGTCGCAATTATGGCCCGATCTTCACGAAATTTAGAATGAAGGTGGGGATAGGGCCAGAATAGAACCCTATTTCTTTTGGAGATGATCGCATAATATTTAGGGGTTGAAATGGACCAAAAACTGAAAAACTTCCTGATTTTGTAGCTGCTCTACGGATCGCAATTATAGACCAATCGACGCGGAAGTTAGCATGGTAATAGAGCTTAGACTTGGGCAGAAGCCTTCCAAGTTTGATGGTCATCGGGTAGTATTTAGTGGGTGAAATAGGCCACAACATTTGTGCTAATAAAAGTCACATTTTCCATTAAAGCGCGATTATTTTTAATCCCGGCAAAATCACAAATAAACGAACAGGTCAATTCTGACCGTTACGTAGATGCCGATAGTAAATATATATAGCGAAATATATACAATGTATATATACAAAGGAAGGGGATGTTAGTTAGAATGCTTATATCACAAGAATGGCTGTACCGATTTTGACAAATTTTGTCAATTCAGAATGCCCTCTTGTCATAAAAGTATTAAATCTAAAAATCGCAGAAAAATATGCCAATAATGATGTTAATATAGATTTTGTAGTATTTTGTGACATTTTTTTATTTTTTCATATTTTTTATCACATGCGATTTTTTTCAATAATTGAAGTAAACATTTTGTAATATTTTTTCACCTTACAACACAGGTTGGGATTATTATATACAGATTGCAATTATCGTCCGATCCTCACGAAAATTTTCAAAGGGTAGGGTTGGGCTCAGAAGTGCTAGGCCAATTTTTTTCAAAGATGTCCGCAATATATTTAGGGGTTGAAATGGACCAATTAAAAATGTGATTTTGCAGCCGTTATAAAGTTCACAAATAGAAACTAAAGGACACGAAATATCGTACAAAGTTAGAGTTTAGGACAGCGGGTAGATGGACCACTACCAGCACCAGCACGACTATAGCCTTTGCTTACTTGTATATACATAAATATTAATTTCTTTAATAACATTAATGAACATATTATTTTTTTACAGCTTTGAAAATCTACATATGGCGTGGCGTACAACTTTTCTACATGGAACTCATGGACGGCAACGAAAGGCGCAAAATGTTACCCACAACTGTTCCGTTGTACTCTCAAGATGAGTTTTTCTATTGAAGCAATTCGTTAAATCATACAAAGACTGGCCATATGGTTTTCTAGTTCCCCTTGAAGGTGTAATTTGAAGATATCCGATCCGATTTTCTCATTTAATCACCATATTGGAATGTCGAGTGGCAAACATTTAACGTTTGACGTTATTCAAATTATAAACTGTTTTATGTTTTATGAATTAGTATTAAAAAAAGTTTAGATTAATTAGTTTAGTGCAATAAAAATAAAGAGAAACATTTGAATATAAAAATTCATAATGACAACAAGAGACCCTCCACCGATGCCTTCCTTTATCATCATCAACAGCGGACGCCCACGAGATCGTGTCATTGTCAAAATATTTTAATAGCCAAGAGTGACAGCTATAAAGAAATATATGTGAAATAAATGGAAATGAATATATTCATGTTTCGCGTTTAATGTGCAGTTTGCAGATAATTATTTAAGTGTGCGTTTATTGGGGTGGATCGAATTAAGACGAATAATATGCAAGAAAATGCAGCACAACTGTAATTTATGAGACTCTCTACTTTATAAGGCAATGAGAAATGGAATGGAAGTCAATATGTCTGCTGAAATCAAGATACAGTCATATCAATTGACGTAGAACTTTAAAATTTGACGGAATTTTTTTTGTTGCGTCTAGAATGGTTGGTAAATAAAATTTCCATCGGTGCCACAAAAAAAACCAGTAAAACACTTTGCTAAATTAGTAGAGCTGCGCATATAAATTACAAGTTTTTATGGGAGAATTTAATCATACACGCTATGATTATAAATATAATTTAAAGTTCAAAGGACTAAATACGCCGAAGCATTTGTATATTTTAAATTCGGACTTGTATTGCCCATTTGGTGCACAATAAATTTGAGCTATTTCCAAATCGGAACCGATCTCGATAAAATTTGGGAAAGATATTTCTGAGCTGTATTTGATAAATTTCCCTGAATATCGTTGTTACGGAGTGCATATTACGGCTGTGGCTAACAAATATGACAAATCATGCCAAATTTCATCCAATTTGGGCAAATATTAGACGTTTGGTGCACAATCAAAGGTAAACGGACGAAGTTATATATGGGAGCTATACCCAAATCTGAACCGATCTCGATAAAATTTAGCAAATGTATTTCTGAGCTGCATTTGATATATTTCCCAAATATTGTTGTTACAGAGTGAATATTACGGCTGCGGAGGACAAAAATAGCAAATCGAATGAACAATATATATGGGAACTATAGCCATATCTGAACCGATTTCGATCAAGTTTGGCATACTTCTTATCAGGTCCAATCTGATCGTACGTGCAAAATTCCATACTAAGATATATATGGGAGCTATATTTAAATTTTGACCGATTATCTCCAATTTCAATAGGGTTCGTCCTTGGGCCAAACAAATGATTTGTGCAAAATTTAGGGCAATAAATGCGAACTGGAATCTGTTTACAAAAATACATGGACTGACGGACGGACGGACATGCATAAATCAACTCAGAATGTTATTCTATGCAGATCATCAAAAGGAACTATGGGTCTATCTCGTTTCCTTTTGCCTGTTACAAACAAATGCACCAAGACATAATACCCTGACCACCTTGTGGTTTAGGGTATAAACAGTAAGGAAAGGTCAAAAATCGAGCGGGCCGACTATATGATACCCTACACCATTATGCGTATTTAGTTCATCTCCCGCAACAAAAAAAGTTTATATTGCGAATTTATGTGAAGTAGATCATACCAACTATTAACCTTATTTGAAAGCGTACCATGCTTTAAGAGTAGTCACAATTTGGACAGTATATACGAGACTGAATAAATTTGTAACAAATTTAGCAGAGGCTTTTGTACCTCTAGTACCAAATAACATTCCTGTATAATGCATAATACTAATTCAATAAGAATTATATTAACAAATATTTAAGCCGATATTACATATATGGTGGACAAAACCCGTAAAATTACATCTTCATCCAATTTTACGGGTTTTGTCCACCATATATGTAATATCGGTGTTATATAAAAATCTGAACCGATCACTATATAACAGGCATTTTCAAGGAGTATGCGATGCCTACTATTTGGTAATAGGCATTCATTTTTGTGGAGTGCATATTACATCGGATAAACAAAGTAAAACGCCATAATTTATAATTCTTTTTTTAAATTTTATTGAATGAAAGCAAACAAGTAAAAAACATTAAGTTCGGCCGGGCCGAACTTTTAATACCCTCCACCTTAGGGTTATGTAAACAAAGAACCAATTATAACCCACAAATACCAATTTTTAGACATATTTGTGGGAAAATTTGGCAAAAACCATTAAAATACCGAATATCAGGAGGTACCTCTATAGAGGGCTATACAAAAGTGTGAACGTATACATACAATATTTCGCCAACGGAGCTAGAATTATGATTAACAAATACCAATTTTTAGACAAATCCATGAAAAAATCTGGCAAAAATCATCAAATACCGAATATTGGGAGGTACCGTTATATGGGGGTTATACCAAAGCGTGGACTTAAACATGCAATGTTTCGCCGCACGAACTAGGACCCATTATGACCTACAAATACCAGTTTCCAGACAAATCCGTGAAAAAGTATGGCAAAAATCACCAAAATACCGAATATCGGGATGTACCGTTATGTGGGGACTATACCAAAACGTGGACCGATATATCTCATTTTCAATACCAACCATCCTAGACACAATACAAATTGTTCTGCTTAATTTTGACAATCTACGTCAAATAATGGGGCTGTATCGTGATTTCAACTGACAGACAGACGGACATCGTTAATCGAATTAGAATATTTTACTGATTATGAATATATATACATTATGGGGTCTACGACGAATATTTAGGGATGTTACAAACCATCCTCCTTTCCAAGGTGGAGGGTATAAAAATGTCGGAAACAGCATCAAATTTTAGAATATGTTTAGACTTGTTCCAATTGATCACCTTAGGCATGAATTATGGCCTTCAAATGGCCAATGAAACCGTCACACGCTGCCCGAATGTTGCTCTGTGGTGTTTTGGCCCATTCTCGGCGAAGCGCTTGCTTGAGGTGATCGACACTTTGGTATTTTTTAGTGCCAACCTTGCTTTCAAAAACACTCCAGACATAAAAGTCCAACTGATTAGTATCCGGAGATTTTGGTGGCCATTGTGCGCTGAAAATGAAGCGAGGAACCTCATTTTGTAACAATTCTTGGGTGGCGCGTGCTGAGTCCTGTTGGAATATCCAAGGTCTGCGGCCAAAATGTTTGCATGCCCAAGGCTTTAATACACCCTCCAGAATATTTTTGCGATTATATTCGGCATTTATTCTGATGCCACGGTCGATTAATACGTGCGGAGAACGACTATCGGCTGTTATGGCGACCACACCAACACCATGGCCGGCGCTTGAGTTCTGGTGGCCAACCGAAGGTGCACATTTTCAGCTGACCTCTTTGGCAAGTAAATGCGATCATTTTATTTGTTTAAAAACTGCTGGACAACGAATGTTTTCTCCTCGGAGAAAACCAAATTCGGCACTTCACCACTTTCGGCCACGCGAAGCAACTCCTTAGCTCTTTTAAGTCTATTTCGTCCACATCCTTGACGTTGGGCTGCGCTACCAGTATCACGGTAACGAGCGATGGTACGAGACACAAAAGATGTGTTCACATTTAAATGCTAGTGTGCGCTAACGATAGCCACTTGTTGTTTTCCCACCAAATATAAAGAAATCACACTATCACACTTGAATTCGATCACGAATAACTTTTCTCTGGAAAATACTCACAAAAATGATTTTGTACACATTTAAACAATATAATGAGCTGTCACTGGAATAATTTTAGCAGCTGTCGGACGATTGACTTAGAAATGACAGCAGTCTTAAGTTGGTTGCAGTTTTTTCATCTCATCTTGTATATTGATTCCCTTCGGCTTAGGATATAATTGCTTTAACTATTTAAACATAGTTGGTATTTTTAACCCTCCACCGTAATATGGAGGGTACATTAACTTTGTCATTTCGTTTGTAACTCCTCGAAATACTTATGTCAGTCCCAACAAGCAACATATATATTCTTTATCAGCGTAAAGTTCTAAGTCGATTTAGCGATTTCCGTCTGTCTGTCCGTCTTTCGCAGGAATTGAGACACAAGGCTAAGATTTTGCACACATGTTTATTTTGCCAGTATGCAGGTTAAGTTCGTAAATGTGTCATGTAGGTCCACGTTTTCATATAGCCCCCATATAACGGTGCCTCCCGATATTCGGTATTTTTAAGATTTTAGCGACATTATTCACCGGAATTGTTTCAAAATTGGCATTTGAAATCCGTAAAGGATACTACAGCTTATGACAAAAAAAATTGTCTGTGCAGGTCCACGTCTTCGTATAACTCCTATATTTAAAAGTGTCTCCCAATACTTCGTATTTTGATGATTTTGGCGTCATTATTCACCGTAATTGTTTCAAATTACGTATATAGAGTTCGTGATGGGAAGAAAATCGTCATTGCAGGTCCATATATCAGTGCCTCCCTATGTTCGATATTTTGACGATTTTAAGTACAATGCTATCCGAAATTGTTTGAGTTGTCGTATTTGAAGTTCTTAATGAATGCTAAAGCCTGTGGCAGAAAATTATCTATGCAGGTCCAGGTCTTCGTATAGCTCTGATATAAAGATTTGGTGATTGATGACTTTAGCTATATTCACCGTTTACTTCGAGTTTCGAATTTGAATATGGTGATGGCTTACAACAAACAATGCCTATGAAGATCCACGTCGTATAGACTTCAATATAACGACTATATTTGGTATTTTTATACCCTCCACCAAAAAAAGTATGGAGGGTATATAAAGTTCGTCATTCCGTTTGTAACTCACCGAAATAATCATTTTAGACCCAACAAAGTATTTATATATTCTTGATCAGCGTAAAATTCTAAGACGATTTAGCCCTGTCCTGTCTGTCTGTTGTAATCACGCTACAGTCTAAACGAATTAAGATAGGAAGCTAAAATTTTGCACTGATCTCTCTTTTGTCTGCAGGCAGGTCAAGTTCGAAGATGGGCTATATCGGTCCACGATATCGTATAGCCCCCATATAACGGTACCCCACGGTATTCGGTATTTTGATGATGTTAGCCACATTTTTCAATGGAATTGTCTGAAATTCCACAAAAGGAGTCCCTTGTGGGCATTTTACCCCCTCAAAAAGAATTGTCTATATATGTCCACGATATCGTATATCTTAAAATCCACACAAGTAGTTCCTTGCGAGTACTTTACCCCCTGGGAGAGAATTGTCTATACAGGCCAAGATATCGTACATCCCCCATATTCGGTATTTTTATGATTTTACCCACATTTTTAATCGGAATTGTCTGAAAATCCACACAAGGAGTTCCTTGTGGGTACTTTATACCTCGGCAGAGAATGATCTTTATAGGTCCACGATATCGTATAGCCCTCATATAACGGTACCCCCGATATTCGGTATTTTGATGTTTTTAGCCATATTTTTCAACGGAATGGTCACAAGGGGTTCTTTGTGAGCACTTTACCCCCTGACAGAGAATTCTCTATATAGGTTAACGATAACGTATAGCTCCCATATAACGGTACCCCAATCGAATTGTCTGAAAATCCACATAAATTCGCAATTATATAGTTCGTTGTGAGCACTTTACCCCCGAAACGGAATTGTCTAGATAGGTCCACAATATCGTATATCCCCCATATAACGGTACTCCCCTATATTCGGTATTTGGATGATTTTAGCCACTTTTTCCAATGGAATTATCTGAAAATCCTTTATCCTCTTTATAGGTCCACAATATCGTATATCCCCCCATATATCGGTACCGTCCTATATTAGATATTTTAAAGATTTTAAAAGAATTTTTAATGAATTTTATTTTTTTTTTTTTTTAAATTTTCTAATTCGTTTCAAATGGTGGAGGGTATTCAAAGTTCGGCCCGGCCGAACGTACTGCTTTTTTACTTGTTAATATTTTAACAGAATTTTTAACGGATTTTATTTCTTAAAAATTTCCAAATTTGTTCCAAACGGTGGAGTGTTTTCAAAGTTCGGCCCGGTCGAACTTACTGCTTTTTAACTAGTTAATTCTCAAAAAATCCCCATAAAAAATAACTTTTTTTGCTTTGGTATATATGCACAGTGCTGTAGGGTATCATAAAGTCGGTACAGTCCGACTTTGTCCTTTCTTTAATGGTTTTCATTTATAACCTAACAAATTTGAAATTAAATTCCGAAGATATCAAATTCGTAATTATATGTATATTTTGAAAATCTCATAAATTTCGAAGTCATAATTCTCATTCAGATAACATTCGGAGTTCTAAAGTAACCCCGTTGATTTTCATTACCAGCCGTATCGTTTGTGGAGGCATAATTTCTTGGGGACGCTTGTTGTACCAACAATGGTGGATTAACTATCACTGCATAATCGTTTGCAGTTAAATTCTTCCACAGCTTATAAACAGGATACCACAGTAAGATCTGGAGAACTACAGAAAAAATTAATATAATATTAGTAAGAACAATAATAATAAAAATTAACGGAATAACTAGAAATGTCTTTCTTCTTACTTATATAGATAATTCTCGCACAAAATGGTGTCTTTGCCAATTTGAAACCGCCAAAGACAATGCTGAAAATGCTCATTGTTATGCCAACAATGGTGAAGAATATCCATCCAGCCATTAAATCGGGACGTCTCTAAAAACGGAATTCAATTAAAAGTAGTTTGTATGTATGACAAACAACATAATGTATAGCAAGGAATTAAAAGGTGGCTTACCTTCTGTGCACCAATTACCAAAAGTAGGGACAACAAAATCATCAAAATGACAAAGGACAATACAATGCTAGCGGCAATTATGTGATTCTCTAAAAGAGGCAAAAAAATATTTGTTATTAACAAGTAAAGAAAACTTCAGTCGATTCAACCAAAAGAATAGAAAAGAAAGGACCAAAGACGGGAGGAGCCGACTACAGGGTTGCCCATATTCGACGGACCCATCTGGCAACGCCATAACTTTTGACAGAGATGTCACATCGCTTTATGACATACCGCGTTTGAAGCGTCAGTCCAAGCAGATTTTTGCCATGAACCAATACACGCCACGCGAGCGCTCTGAAATAGTTGAAATTTACAAGAAGTCAATTGTGAAAACTCAACGTGCTTTTAAAACATTAAAAAATGTGAGAAGTGCGCCTTCTAAGAACACAATTAAGCGTTTATACGAAAAATGTTCGACTGGTAAGGCTCTTTCTAATCCGAAGAGGCCATATAAAAGTCGACCAAGGCGATCGGCCGAGAATATAGCTGCCGTACGAGCCAGTGTTGAGAGGTCCCCAAGAACATCCCAAAAACGCCGTTCTCAGCAGTTGGGCATGGCTCGGTCCACTTTACAACGAATTATTCGCATTGATTTGCATTTGTTCCCGTAAAAAATTGACGCAAAGAATGTTGCCTGCGGACAAGCCTCGTCGATTGGAATGGGCCCAAAGGTCCGTCGAATATGGGCAACCCTGTATATGATACCCTACTCCACTATGCATAGTTCGTTGAGCTCCCCGCAAGAAATAAACCAACATATTTAAGCTATATCTTAATCTTAGCCGTTTCCACTAAATTTGACCAAAATATTTCGACTTTGAGAATATTTCAACGAAAATTGGGTGAAACATAAATGTTAGAGCTGTAGCTATATATGACAAGATTTTCTCCTAATTAATTATGTATACGCTATTTTCGGCCGTATTTAATAAAATTTATCAATTTTTGGCTTATATTATATATCAGGTGAGCAATAAGTTTGAAATTAGACGGGTATATTTATTGGAGCTATATCCAAATATAAGCCGAACTGAACAAAATCAAACAGGGGTATTTCTAGACTGTATATAATATGAAGGGCATAATTCGGCTTCCATGCGTTGCGTTCCAACATAGATGTATCTGAGCCGATTTTCATCAAAATTTGATATATTTGCTTTAGGACTGAAATTGGTGGTCGAAATATACATGAGAGCTAAATCTAAATTCAAACCGCATTATTCGCAATCGAACAATAAATTTAGGATGTACTTTGTTTACAAAAATACATGAACATAAGGACGAACGAACGGATATACGGATGGACATGCATAAATCGACTTATGATGCGATTCTATGGGGATCGTCAAAAGGAACTACGGATCCATATCTTTTTTTTTAATGTTATTAAATAAAAGATAATAATGAAAGAGCATCAATTTTTAGAATAAGTTTAGATTTGTTGGAATCGGTCACCTTTGGCACGGCAAACGGCAAATGAAACCATCACACGCTGCCCGAATGTTGCTCTGCGGTATTCTGGCCCATTCCAGGCGAAGCGCTTGCTTGAGGTGATCGGCACTTTGGTATTTTTTAGTGCAAACTTTGCTTTCCAAAATACTCCTGAGTGCAAGGGTGCTGACTCCTCTTGCAATGTCCAAGCTTTGCGACCAAATTGTTTACGTGCCCAAGGCCTTAATACACCCTCCAAAATATTTTCGCTTCGGCATTTATTCTGGTGCCACGGTCGATTAATAGGAGCGGAGAGCGACCATCGGCTGTTATGGCGGCCAACCGAAGGTGCACATTTTAAGCTGACCTCTTTGGCAAGTAAACACGATCATTTTGTTTGTTCACAAACTGCCGGATAACGAATGTTTTCTCATCGGAGAAAACCAAATTCGCCTGCTCATCACTTTCGGCCAAGCGAGACAACTCTTTAGCTCATTTGAGTCTATTTTCTTTCTGTTGCGGTGTAAGTTCTTGCACTTTTTGGAATTTCAATGGCTTTGCCCCGTGCTTATTTTTCAATATTTGCTGAATGGAATGTTGCGCCACGCGGGTTTCGATTAAGTCGCTGCTTTACTTTTCGAACCATTTCTGCTGATGTTGCTGTTTTCTTACGTCCACTTCCTTGACGTCGGTCTACGCTACCAGTATCATGGTAACGAGCGATAGTAAGAGACACAAAAGATTTATTCACATTTAAATGCTGGGGTGCTCTAACGATAGCCACTTGTGGTTTTCCAGCCAAATATGAAGAAATCACACTATCACGCTTGAATTCTATCACGAATAACTTTTTTTTCTGGAAAATTCTCACCAAAATGCTTTTGTACGCTTGTAAACAATATAATCAGCTGTCGCTGGAATAATTTTAACAGCTGTCGAACGGTTGGCTTCGAAATGACAGCAGTCTGAATTTAGTTGTAGTTTTTTCATCTCACCGTGTAAATGTTTGATTTTCTTGAAATTTTGCCCATACCAATGTTTTATCTGTATTAGATGATGTATGAAAATGGAATACTATATCTATATACGAAGTATATATACTTCGGTCAACAAAATATGTATATTTAAATAATCAAACATTGGCTGAGGGTATACATCTGTCGGCAAAAACGAGTGATACTTTTTAACTTTGTTTTTTTTTGTTATTAACATTTTGCAATAGGTTTTACCTCCTCTGCCGTATCATTGTCTATACAATTCCATGTTTTTCAATTGCCCTCTAATAATGGTTCCTGAAGATATTCTGTGTTTTAACAAACAGGCCACATTTTCATCGGATTTATTCCAAATTCTGTATTTTTAGTTCAATATGGGTTCTACAACCGGTGTCAAAACATTGACCATATTGGTCCAAGGTTTCCATGCAATGGAACCCACCGATATTCGATATTTAGATGATCGTAGCACATTTTCCCACGCTGTGTTAAATTCGGTATTAAAGACTCACAATAGATAACAATCCTTGCAGTAGAAAATAGTTTATATAGGCTTCAGTTTCGGCATGGTCCCCCATATTATAATTTTATTGTATTTTAAAACTTGAACTAAATTCTTCAAACAATCTTTCCGGTGTTTAAAGTAGAAAGCGTTTTAATCCAAATACTTTTAATAATGATGGAGGGTATTGAAAGTTCGTTCGGCCCGAACTTAATATTTTTTTTTTCAATTATTATTATTCAACTGCTTTACCTCCTCATCTAAGTTTAACATAAATACAGACCCAGATTGAACTATACATACTTCATTCATTTTGTTTGGGATAATAGCAAATGTCCACTACTTTATCAGCAAAAGGTCCACCTCAAAACTTTACATACGAATCTAAACAGTTCGCGTTAGGCCTTGTAGCACTCAAAATGTAAAATTTTCCACATCCAATTTTTCTGTCCAAAAATATTTCAATGTGTCCATATGTAAACTTTAGAACCTAGAACCCTAGACATCAACAGGTGTCAGATATGTCCTTTCACACAATACTAAATTTAGTGATATTTAGTACGCATATCCAATAGTGGTCCAAAATAAGTACCATTTAGTACTTTAGTACAGATAATATCAGTAATCTAAATATCAAATTTCAGGTTTTAAGTTCTATTCCTTAATCCAATTAGTTAGTACTTTCCGTACAATTATAGTACATATAGCTATAGCTTCCATTTTTATGTTTCATCCGGTTTAGGATTTTAAGTCACTCACATGCGTAATATGCACTCCACAACAATGATATTTGATACCAGACATCAGATACTGCTCGAAAATACCTCTGCCAAATTTTATAGAGTTCGCTTAAGATTTGTATATACCTTCGATACACCTCTTCATCCGATTTTACGGTTATTGTCGACTATATGTTAAATATCAGCCCACATTGGATAGATTTTTTCATATTCAACCGAATTTTTCCATTTGATGAATCTCGGTCCGGAATTTCTATATGTATCGCGCGTATAGTCAGTAAGGAATTTTTGTCGTATCATGCCGTATGAAGGTATAAAAAGTTAGCATAGTTTAATCATATTCAGAAACTATTCCCAATGAGGCTTTAGTGTGCTACTTTTCTACAGAAATTTTCTCAATTAGTTTATTTGTTAGATTCCATCATTATTTCCGATGGCTATATTAAGCCGAGGAATATCTGTCACCTTACAGTAGAATACCCTCCGTCCCTTAATTTGGGTTACATGACATACATTGTCGACGGACTTCCGACGTCAAGGAAGTGGACGTAAGAAAACAGCAACATCAGCAGAAATGGTTCGAAAAATAAAGAAGCGACTTGATCGAAACCCGTGTCGCAGTGGCCGAAAAATGGCTCGTGAGTTGAAAATATCGCTATATTCCATTCGGCAAATATTGAAAAATGAGCTGGGGGTAAAGCCATTGAAATTCAAAAAAGCGCAAGAACTTACACCACAACAGAAAGAAAATAGACCCGAATGAGCTAAACATTTGCTTCGCTTGGCCGAAAGTGGTGAACTGCTGAATTTAGTTTTCTCCGATGAGAAAACATTCGTTGTCCACCAGTTTGTAAACAAACAAAATAATCGTGTTCACTTGCCAAAGAGGTCAGCTGAATATGTGCACCTTCGGTTGGCCACCAGAACTCAAGCGCTGGCTATGGTGATGGTGTGGGCCGCCTTAATTGCCGATGATCGCTCTCCGTTCGCATTAATCGACCGTGGCAACCAAAATAAATCCTGAATATTATCGCGAAAATATTCTGGAGGGTGTATTAAAGCCTTGGGCACGTAAACATTTTGGCCACAGACCTTGGACATTCTAACAGGACTCAGCACCATCCCACTTAGCACGCGCCTCCAAAGAATGACCACAATATTTTGGAAAGCAAGGTTGGCACAAAAAAAATACCAAAGTGTCGATCACTTCAAGCAAGCGCTTCGCCTGGAATGGGCCAAAATACCACAGAACAACATTCGGGCAGCATGTGACGGCTTCATGGGCCGTTTGAAGGCCATAACTCGTGCCAAAGGTGACAAATTCGAAAAAATGTAAACTTATTCTAAAATTTGATGCTATTTCCGACATTTTTTGCTCTCATTCAATAAAGTTAAAAAAATGTAAAAATTAAGGCGTTTGACTTTGTTGCATTTTTTTATTTCACACTGTATAGTTCCTTTAGCTTTAATTCACCTTTTGTTACTTCTATGTTTATATTCATCCACCGCAGAGCATTTTTTAGAAAGATTTCCCCCATGGCGTGGCGTTTTATCGCCCTTTTCTTGGATTTTTTACACAATTTTCGGATAAACTAATGCTTGATTTGTTTAGTCAGTTATTGGTTTTGTAAATAATAATAATTACAATTATCTCAAACTGTTACGTGCTCACCATTCATGTTGCCGGCATCATTGTGGCGTATCAATTGTACCAACAAATCTATTAATATTCCACTAACAGCGATGTGCAGGAGACAGCTCAGAACGCCAATTACAATGGCATATAAAGTCAGATCCATAGTTCGATGCGTTTCCGTACGTTTCGCTGGCAGTGACGACGAGTGAACCGATGAAATACCACAACTAAACTGTTGTTGTGACAACAAATCTAATTCGAATGAATTCAAACATTGGAATTACGAAATCAATGGGGAATTACCTCGGAGTGAAGAGTTGATAATTTATCCGCTCAGCAGAGATATCCACAGCAGAATGACTAAGAGTTTACATTTTATACCCTCCACCATACTATTAACATTAATTTTGTCATTCCATTTGTAACTCCTCGAAGTACTCATGTCAGACCCAACAAAGTATATATATTTTTGATCAGCGTAAAATTCTAAGACGATTTAGCCCTGTCCGTCCATCTGTCCGTCCGTCCGTCTGTCCGTCTGTTGTAATCACGCTACAGTCTAAACGAATTAAGATAGGAAGCTAAAATTTTGCACAGATCTCTCTTTTATCTGCAGGCAGGTCAAGCTATATCGGTCCACGATATCGTATAGCCCCCATATAACGGTACCCCCGATATTCGGTATTTTGATGATTTTAGCCACATTTTTCAATAGAATTGTCTGAAAATCCACACAAGTAGTTCCTTGTGGGTACTTTATACCTCGGCAGAGAATTATCTATATAGGTCCACAATATCGTATAGCCCCCATATAACGGTACCCCCACGGTATTCGGTATTTTGATGATTTTAGCCACATTTTTCAATGGAATTGTCTAAAATTCCACAAAAGGAGTCCCTTGTGGACATTTTACCCCCTCAAAAACAATTGTCTATATAGGTCCACGATATCGTATATCCCCCATATAACTGTACCCCCCGATATTCGGTATTTTGATGATGTTAGCCACATTTTTCAATAGAATTGTCTTAAAATCCACACAAGTAGTTCCTTGTGAGTACTTCACCCCCTGAGAGAGAATTGTCTATACAGGTCCACGATATCGTATGTCCCGATATTCGGTATTTTTATGATTTTACCCACATTTTTCATCGGAATTGTCTAAAAGTCCACACAAGGAGTTCCTTGTGGGGGTACTTTATACCTCGGCAGAGAATTATCTATATAGGTCCACGATATCGTATAGTCCTCATATAACGGTACCCCCGATATTCATTATTTTGATGTTTTTAGTCATATTTTTCAACGGACAGAGAATTCTCTATATAGGTTAACGATAACGTATAGCTCCCATATAACGAAACCCCGCGATATTCGGTATTTTGAAAATCCACACAAGGAGTTCCTTGTGAGTACTTTACACGCAGATTGTCTTTATAGGTCCACAATATCGTATCGGCACCTTCCTATATTAGACATTTGAAAGATTTTAAAAGAATTTTTAATGGATTTTATTTTTTTTTGAAAATTTTTTAATTTGTTCCAAATGGTGGAGGGTATTCAAAGTTCGGCCCGGCCGAACTTACTGCTTTTTTACTTGTTTTTTTTTTCAAATGTGTGGATGGTTTTAAAGCCCTAGTACTGAAAGGGGAAGTACATGTGCGCTGCTATTACTTATCAGCAAGAAAAAAAAAATTGCAAAAAGCCGATAGTACAGTAGAAATCGGACGATCAAATGGAGTATCAGAGCAATGGCAGTTGTGCATAAACCGATTGTAAATAAATCAAATTTTTTGTAATGAAACATTAAAAATTAATAAATTTTTAAGATGCACACCTTACCCATTAAGGAGAGAACAGAAGTGAGATGTTTAAATTAGGCATTTCTGTGAAAAAAAAAATCAGCAAAGTAGATCATTATTGAGTGCACGTCATGGTCTTAGAGCGGTTAAATTTGAAATCGGATAGAATTAACCAGAGAAACGATGTCCGTTTCTCTATCCATCTGTCTGTTGAAATCACGATAGAGTCCACATTTTTTAATCTGGAGCTTTGGAATTTGGTTCAAAGTTTTATACTATGTACAGGTTTATTGATAGACCCCATAAAACCGTACATCCAGATTTTGCGGTATTTTGAGGTTTCTGCCACAACTTCCAACCAATTTAGATGAAACTTGTTCTCACTGTTCTCTCCCTTCAAAAAATAGCAAGGTCCATTTATTTGTATGGCCCCCACTATAATGGTACCTCCCGTCTCCCGGTATTTCGAAGGTTTCTGCCACAATTTCCAACCTATTTAGATGATAAAACGGGTTTCGCTATTTGGGTTATTTTTTCATTTTAGTTAAAATGAATTTATATTCTAAATTTTACTCTGATAAACAAAGTGGTGGAGAGTATAAAAAGTATGACATTCGAACCTATGAAATTACTTCTTTTTATACCCTCCACCATTCTGTGGAGAGTATATTAGCTTTGTCATTCCATTTGTAACTCTTCGAAATATTCATAATAGACCCTACAAAGTACATATATCCTGGATCAGCGTAAAATTTAGCGATGTCCGTCTGTCTGTTCTAATCACGCTATCTTTCGAACGAATTGAGAAAGAAAGCTAAATTTTTGCATACACACACATAGTTTGCCAGTAGGCAGGTTTAGCTAATAAATGGGCCATGTCAGTCCACGTTTTCGTATAGCTCCCAAATAACGATACCTCCCGAAATTCGGTATTTTTATGATTTTAGCGACTTAATTCGACCGAATTGTTTCAAATTTCGTATTGGAAGATCTTAATGGGTACTACAACCGTTGGCAAAATTTCGTATGTAGGCCTATGTCTTCGTATAGCCCCCATATAGCTGGACCTCCCGATATTCTATATTTTAATTATTTTAGCGATATTATTCACTGGAATTGTTACAAATTTCGTATATAAATTTCGCAATGGGTACTACAGTCTATGACAAAAAATTTGTATGCAGGTTCACGTCTTCGTATAGCCCCCATATAGCGGTACCTCCCTATATTTGGTATTTTGATGATTTTAGACATTATTCATCGGAATTGTTTCAAATTACGTATTTAGAGTTCGTAATGGGAACTACAGTCTGTGACAGAAAATTGTCTGTGCAGTTCCAGAACTTCGTATGGGCCCCATATATCAGTACCTCCCTATATTCGGAATTTTGACGAGTTTAGGTACGATACCCACCGAAAATATTTGAGATAACGTATTTGAAGCTCGCAATGGCTGGTTCAGGTCTATGTCTGGTCCACAGCTCCGATATAACGGTACCTCCATATATACTATATTTTGATGATTTTAGCTACATTATTCACCGTTTATTTCAAGTTCCGAATTTGAATATGGTAATGGCTTATGACAAACAAGGCCTATATAGACCCCAATATAACAGAATTTTTTAAGGAGGATTTTATTAAGGATTTATTTTTTTTTTAAATTTCCAATGGTGGAGGGTATTCCTTTTCAACTTGTATGGTGGGTATATTAAGTCCGTTATTCCGTTTGTAACTCATCGAAATAATAATTTCAGACCCAAAAAAGTATTTATATTCTTGATCTGCTTAAACTTAAATGTTTCTGCTGGAATCACGCTAGAGTCAAGGCAAATTAAGAAAGGAAGATAAAATTTTGCACAGATTTGTCTTTTGCCTGCTTGTAGGTCAAATTCGAAGATAGACTATATCGGCCCACAATACCGTATATCCCCCATGTAATGGCACCTTCGGATATTCGGTATTTTAATGATTTTAGTCACATTTTTCAATGGAATTGTCTGAAAATCCACACAAGAAGTTCCTTCCGAGTTCATTACCCTCTTGAAGAGAATTGTCTATACTGTTTCACGATATCATAAATCCCCTATATAAGCGTTCGTCCCGATATTCGTTATTTAATGATATTAGCCACATTTTCCAACGGATTTGTGTGAAAATCCACACAAGGATTTTTTTGTAAGTACTTTATTCCCTAGAAGATAATTTTTTATACAGGTCCACGTTATCGTATAGCCCCCATATAACGGTACCCCCCCCCCCCCCCCTTTTCGGGATTTTGATGATTTCAGCTTCTGAGTACTTTACCCCCTAGAAGAGAATTGTCTATGATTCTCCCGCATTGTTTCAAATTTAGTATTTGAAGTTCGGAACCATCAATACAGCTTATGACAAAAATATTTATGCAGGTCAACGTCTACGAATAACCCCCATCTAAGCGGTATTTTTCTAATATTCGCGATTTAGTCGAATTTGGCTGTTTTACCCCCATGAAAGTTGTGGTCTATTTTATCCGCTAAATGATTAGGCTTCTGCCCAGCCCCATGCAAAATTCTTGCGATCATCTCCGTAAACAATAGGTTTCCATGCAAAATTTTGTTAGGATCGTTCCATAATTGCGACCTGTAGCGTGATTATAAATTTACATGGATAGACGGGTAGACGGACGGACATACATAGCTAGATCGCCTCAGCTCGGCGAGATGTGCAAGATCCATATACACATTGCTATATGCAGACTTGGACTAATATTTCGAGGTGTTACATAATTGTTGGCCGAATCAAACTTATAATAACTTCAATACATGTTGCTGTAGGGTATAAAAACACATTTTTAAGTTATTTTAGTAGGATTTCCTAAGAATCACATTTTTCTGCACTTCTTGTAGAAATTCCTGGCTTATGATAGGTGAATTAGCAATATACTTTGTAAAACGTCGATCAAATTCGTATCATACGCTCCTATTAGAATTAGAAATACGATTTACTTCACAACAAATTCCCTACATAAAGGTAGGGTATCAAACAGTCGGCCCAGTCCGACTTTTTTCCTTTCTATATCGGATTTTATATATATTTTTTATGCTGATTTAAATAACCCTCATTCTATATTTCGCTCAACCTCAAAATGGTGGTTTATTGAAACAAAGCACTTATTTTAAACTACGGCTGATTTGTAATGTTGTCTTGAGCGCATTCAGATATTTCATTCGACAACTATGGATCGCTGTCGTTTTGCTTTTGTCATTGGCATCATAAATGTAATTTATTATGCTGTGAGCACCATAGTTTTTACCGCGATGATAATCAAAACTGAACTTGACAAGAAACTAGTGGCTAGTTCTAGTAGGAAATATAATATTTCTGTGTTTATATCTCCGAAATAACGTTTCATTTTCTCCCTACTTTGTAGGTCCATACATATTGAGTTTGTGTTGCGGTCTGATTATGGTATCTGTATCGATACTGATGATAGTGGGGGCCGCTAAAGTAAGTAATCAAATGGTCGCATTTGGAAATGATTCACTTTCTCTTGAATTAATATTTTTCCCTTTTTAGTCACGACATTCTTTTATTGCTCCTTGGGTATTATTAACTGGTTTCGGTCTGGTCATTGGCACTTTTTATTTATTAATCTTCGGTTACACAGTTCCAATTTGGGAACTGTTTAACTACATCACATTTATTGGTTAGTATTGGATACATAACCCAGCAAAGATACTCATTACAAATCTTATTCTTAGTCCATAATTTTAACATGGAAATGTAAATCGAAATAAGGATTTATACCTTGGCCGCAAATAAGTCTAGAAGGAAGTTGTTATTGTTTGTGGTATCCAAAGAATAACTATAATTTGCCGGAATAACCAATTATTTCGTTGTAATAATGCGTTAGTAACCCGATTTGTAATGAATATTTTTGCTGCGAGACTATTGTGAATTTTTCCTCTTTCAAAAATTATTTCATTTTTAGCATCGCAATCCGTAAGCTGCTATTCAATTTATCTTTTCTGGAAAGATATAAAAAATGGAGTATACAACAATGACTTACATATCGCAGAGCTTTCGAATCCCCCGCCCTATGTTCATTCCTCGGCAACAATACGTACCAGCTATGAAATAAATGATCCTGTATTGTGAATCATCAGATAATAGTATACAATTATCAAAATCATTAAAAAACAAAAACATTTTAAGTGTTCCATGATAATGCTGAGGCAGACCCTTATAAAATATTTAAAAAACCAGTAAAGAAAGCTCAAAAGGCGGACGGGGCCGACTATATGCACCACTATGTATATTTAGTAGAGCTCTCGTAAAAGAAAGGTATATATTGGGCATTTCTGAGCTCTGGTACAAAATATGATTATGGCAGAGTGCATATTCCGAAAGTTGAAGATTTAAACACCAAATCGGATGAAACATGGAGCTAGAGCTATATCTGAACCGATTGTTACCAAGTTTTAAATGTTAACCTCTAGAATGAATTCGCTCGGAAGTGCAACTTTTCACTCACTTTGGGCTGAACAAGAAACCTAAAATCGGACGAAGATATATAGGGAAACTATAACCAAATCTGATCCGATCTTGATAAAATTTGAATCATGTATTGCTAGGCTGAATCTAATATCTGGTACCAAATATAATTTTTATAGGGTGTATATTACGAATGTAAGGGACTTAAATACCAAAATCGGATAAAACACATACACAAACAGCTATAGCTATATCTGAAGCGATTTTCACTAAATTTTAAGTAATAACTTCTTGAATGAAGACATATTACTCTTACGATATAAAACCACAAATTTTGGGTCTCATAGACCCTTATAAAAAGTGTTTACACAAATAAAAGAGCTGTAAGTTAGGCCGAGCCGAATTAATTATTAATTATAATTATATAATAATAACTATAATTATAATTATAATTATAATAAATTAAATAATTATAATTATAATAAATTATATAATTATAATTATAGCGTGTATGTTGAATTCTCCCATTAAAACGTTTAATTGATATGCGGAGCTCTACTAAATTAGCAAGGTGGTGTAGGTTATCATGAAGTCGGCCCCGCTCGACTTTAAGACTTTCTTCACTGGTTTGGAAAATTGCCAAAGTTCCAAATGGTGGAGGGTATTAAAAGTTCGGCCCGGCCGAACTTACAGCTTCTTAATTATAATTATATTATATATAATTATATTATTATTATTCGGCCGGTCCGAACTTTATATTATATTATTATAATATTTATAATTTAAAGTTCAAAGGACAATATGTATGCCATCGGATAAACAGTATGGGAGCTATAGCTATATCTGAACCGATCTTCACCACATTTGACATACTACATTTGACCAAATCCCATTTGGACAAATATTAAACGTTTGGTGCACAATAAAACGTAAATTTTTTAGGCTTAATTTGGTTGTATGTGCAAAATTGCATACTATTCGGACTGATATTACACGTTTGGTGCAAAAAAAAAGCAAATCGGGTGAAGATATATATGGGAGCTATATCTAATTTTATACCGATTATCTCTAATTTCAATAAGGTTCGTCCTTGGGCCAAACAAATAATTTGTGCAAAATTTCATCTGGATAGGGCAATAAATGCGAACTGTACTTTGTTTACAAAAATACATGGACAGACAGACGGACGTGCATAAATCGACTCAGAATGTGATTCTATGCAGATCATCAAAAGGATCTATGGGTCTATCTCGTTTCCTTTTGCCTGTTACAAACAAATGCACAAAGACAAAATACCTTGTTAAAATCTAATAGTACTGAATGTAGCCATTAAATTAGGGTCTATACGATGACATGGACCTGCATAGGCAACTTTTATCATAAGCCATTACAATATTCAAATGCGAAACTTGAAAAAAATCGGTGAATGTAGTGAAAATCATCAAAATACCGAATATAGCGAGGTAGTATTATAAATCCATGATCAATGAAAAAATGAACCGATTAATTCCACATTTACCTCAGACCTCTGGTTGATATAAATATTTAGCTACACCAAATTTAAAGAGATGCGTTAAGTATTAATTATTATTGTGATCCTTTGTTTTGAGGGAGGAACCATAATGGCTGAGCCAGCTCGTGCGTGAATTTTGAAGAGAATCTGATGTTTATTTCGCACTTTATGACCTTATTATTATTCAAAATTTTGACTCCCTTGGGGTGGAGGAAGGTATCTGAAGGAGTGGGCCGATAAATACCACCTTTACGCCAGAACTTGTGTGAAAAATTTGATGCTTATTTTGCGGCTTTTGAGAGATAATCGTATTCAAAATTTTGACCCGGTGTGGGGGAAGTACCGCAAGGATTAGTCCGAAACATTAAATCTTCGCACCTCATCTTGTGTTAATGCAAATATGAAGATATGCCGAGTTTAAAAGGAATCGAATGCTCATTTAGTGTTTTATGAGCTTCATACTTATTCAAAATGTTGTCCCTTTGTGGGGGAGGTACCAGAATAAGTAGTCCGACTCATCCCATTTTCTTACCACACCTAGAGTTTTAAGAAATATTGGGATATGCGAAATTTAAAGACAACTGGATTTATATTTCACATTTTATAAGAGTTCAGATTATTCAAAATTTTAACGAGAAAATTACTAAAATGAGTGAGCACAATACATATGTTATGTTTTCCAAAGTTTGAAGAAAATTATTTTCTTCTGTTCTATGAGGTAAATTATTTTCTGTGAAAACTTTGACTTTTTGTGGGGGAGGTATCGGAAGGAGTGGATCGATATTGCCCATCGAGCTATGTTCGATAACAATATTAATGGAAAAATTATGTTTCAAATCGGATACTCCCTTCGACAGTTGTTGTTAGCACTAGCAGACAGACGGACGTATACTCCTATATCGACTCCAAATGTCCTGAATGGGATTTGGTACAATGTGACCTAGTGTCTTACACCGTTATTTTAATGAGTAACGTTCTGTAGCCCTACACGATAAAACTTTGACAGATTCTTATAAAATATCCTTTTCAAATCCACATTAAAACTGTGATAATGTCTTCAATTAAAGCCATAACAGATGTATATAAATTATAGTAAACAAGTAAGCAAAGGCTATAGTCGTGCGGGGCCGACTATGTTATACCCTACAACACTATAGTATGTTAGAAGCTCTCTTGTGTCCAAATCCATATTGGAGGATTTCGCTTTTGAAATTAGGATTTTGATCGTGATCGTGATCGTGCTGTTAGTTGTTTTAGTCCATTTTAAAGCTAAATAAAATCAAATGGTCATAAAAAATGCTAGAATTCTTCCCTGTTCTTAACTCTCTTCACAGGGGTGTCGATTGGCTTTTATTGTGTAATCGGGAAATTTTTTCTGTTTTTGGTTCATTGAACCCCTCAATAATTTTCGATCACCTCCAAAAGCAAGAGGCCCCTTAGTATCTCCAAATTAGACTCATCTATATGATTCAACGAAATCAGCATAAAAAAGCCAGGAGTTCGCCTTTTGTGTATTTCGGTAGCGGTAGCGGTCCATTCTACCCGCTGTCGTAAACTCTAACTTTAGCGAGATTTCGTGTTATTTGGTTTATATTTTTGACCTTTATATCGCCTGCAAAATCAGGAACATTTGTAGTTGGTGGTCCATTTCAACCCCTGAAATATTGCGGACATCTTTAAAAACAATAGGCCTAGCCCTTGTGAAAATTTTCGTGAGGATAGGACGATAATTGCAATGTGTATATAATAACCCCAACCTGTGTTGTAAAGTGAACAAATATTACAAAATGTAAACTTTAATATTATAAATCAAATTGAAAAAATCGCATGCGATAAAAATATGAAAAAATAAAAAAATGTCACAAAATACTGCAAAATCTATATTAATATCTTTATTGGCATATTTTTCTGCGATTTTTTTAGATTTTATATTTTATGACAAGAGGGCATTCGGAATTGACAAAAATTTTCAAAATCGGTACAGCCATTCTTGAGATATAAGCATTCTAACTAACATCCCCTTCCTTTGTATATACACATTGTATATATTTCGCTATATATAACCGATATATTTACTATTGGTATATACGTAACGGTCAGAATTGACCTGTTCGTCTATTTGTGATTTCGCCGGAATTAAAAATATTCGCGGTTTAATAGAAAATTTGACTTTTCTTTAACACAAATGTTGTGGCCTATTTCACCCACTAAATATTACCCGATGACCAACAAAATTGGAAAGCTTCTGCCCAGCCCTAAGATCTAGCCGCATGCTAACTTCCGCTTTGATTGGTCTATAATTGCGACATGTAGAGCAACTGCAAAATCAGGATTTTTCAGTTTTTGGTCCATTTCAACCCCTAAATACTATGCGATTATCTCTAAACGAAATAGGGTTCTATTCTGATCCTAGCCCCACCTCCATTCTAAATATCGTGAAGATCGGGCAATAATTGCGACCTGTAGAGTGATTACAAATTAACATGGACAGACGGACAGACGGACATACATAGCTAGATCGACTCAGCTCGGCGAGATAGGAAGATCCATATATACTTTCCTATATGGGAAATCAATATTTCGAGGTGTTACATAATTGTTGGCCCAATCAAACTTATAATGTTGTAGGGTATAAAAATATATATATGCAAATTTCCGTGTCGATTGGTTGTCAATCGTGACCTGTAGACCGACTGCAAAATCAGAAAAATTATATTTTTTTTTTTGATCCATTTGAACCCCTTCGTGTACATCTTCAAAAACAATATGCTTTAATTCTGACTCAAACCATACGCCCATGAAAAATGTCTTGAGGATCGGACAATAATTTCAACCTGTATATTATACCCTGAACACATAATGTTGCGGGGTGTTGAACAACTTTAAAAAATTCACAATTCAAAATTGTAAGTCAAGTTTAAAAAATTGCGTGAGACATAAAATATGACAAAAATTTAAAAATGTAACAAAAATATTCACTCTTTAAATGTCATATTTTTACGCGGTTTTCTTAGATTGCATCCTTTTCTGACAAGAGACCATTCTGAGGTGATGAGAATTGTGAAAATCAGTCCAACGGAATGACTAAGAATTATTCCTTTTACATATTTATTGTACCCATTTTGCTATATATCCGATATCTTAGCTATCAGCATCACTATAATTGTGAGAAGTCATATTTTTGTGATTATA